TCATACCCAGAGCCCCTTTGGGGCTGCCTGGGACAGTCATGGAGGACCCAGCCCCTCCAGGAACATTGATCCAGGTGAAGCTTTTTAGGGGGAGGTGGATTTTCTCCACGTTGTCTTCATTGGAGGATTGTTTCACACGCGCCACTCATGGGCCTTGAACTCTGGATCCCTCTGTTCTAACACGCCGTTGGCTCGCTGGGCCGTTGAATTTTGGTTCGAACGGTAGCGTCCTATCTGTCTGTACGGGTTGCCGTTGCCACAGCACTGAACGCCGTTTCAGAGGGCCCAGAATACAGTGCTCTGTTTTTTCCGCACGTTGCGTGCCAGGCCATATGCGCGCAAGCCCACTCCATGTAGCAGAATCGAGGGCACGTCAGAGCGGAAACATCCCGCTTGATGTCTACGCCCCGCCTGTAGTATTACGTTGAACCTCATCTCCTCGCAGCTGCAGGATCTCTCGATTGAGAGGCTATCGCAGTTTAGCATGGTGGAGTGGGCTGTCGAGCCGCCCCCTCAAAAAGAATATGCAATTCCCGAGACGTGCCCCACCCTGTCTCAACGAGTGACGGCAATCAATGCGACCGCCCAACATAACATCATACAGTTGCGCAGGTTGCAGCAACCACAGGGCGCCGCGAGGTCTAGTCTGGATGTGCTTGAGACCATTCCGCTGGACCACCCAGGAGCCCAAGAATTGGCGGCAGGTTGCGCAGGTGGCAGCTCCCCAGGGAGCCACGATGTCTACTTTGGATGTGCCTACCGCCCCACTCCGCTGGACCTCCCAGGAGCCCACGAAAGTGGCGACAGGTTGCGCAGGTGGCAGCCCCCTGGGGAGCCGCAAGGTCCAATCTGGATGGGCGTTGGACACCACCCCGCTAGACCTCAAAGGGAACCTACGAAAGTGGCGACAGATGCGCAAGGGGCAGCACCCCAACGGGGAAGACGGAGACGTGTGAGCGTGCTCTACCCAAAACGGGAACCCAGCACAGGATGCCTGGGCATAAATCAGGATGCAAGAGGAGATCGGAGGTCGGAGAGGGAGAGGAGGACGGAGTGGGGACCATCGTGTTTCATCCCTAAGGGCTTGATTTTTGCGCCAATCGACTTGCGGGGATCAAGCCATGCAAATCGAGGTCCATTCAGAGATATCTTGGGACATGTGGAGCAACTCGTGGCCGCTCCAGCGCGAGTCGAGGGACGGCAGAAGTCGTTAACCCCCTTAGCGATTCAATTCCAAACGAGACCCCAACGCAGGACAGTTGGAGGCAATTGACTGTTATGTGCTCGAGCGTAGCTCAGGGGTGTCAGACTTCTGCGATGGGTTCGCACCAGCGCTCTTGGAAGGGGGCACGGTTGCAGGGAAGCGGCAGGGTGCCTCAGCGGCATGATTTAGCCGTGCCGGTCATATGAGGATAGATACCAACACGCCTCCACGCACGAGTGAACAGGGAGAGGGAGAGAGAGAGAGAAAGAGAGGGAGAGAGAGAAAGAGAGAAAGAGAGAGAGAGAGAGAACGATGGTATGGTCAACGACGCGTGTAAATATATGATCAGATATATCCATAAGTTCACAAGCACATATAACTGTATCTGCATATACATGCGCATATATGTATACATATGCGTGTGGGGTTGCCTTCGGTGTACGTATGTTTGCCAGGAGGTACATTTGCATGCATGTGGTTGCATGCGTACGCATTTGCTGAACTTTCGTACCAATGCTCGGTATGAGGACACACATACATACATCCAAGCACACATATGCACCAATGCGCCTGAAAATGCGACTCTGAGACATACATGTATATAACATGTATGTAACAATAGAACTATGTGTACACACATATATGTTGATATTCATGTATACAGCAATAGATCGATGAGTGTGCGTGTTGGGGCCGTCGGCCCATCCCGCAACCTTGCTGGGGTTGTGGACCTCTTCATTTTTTGTTGTGGTCTATTGGGAGGCCTCAGGGACGCCGGTCTCAATCCTCTCAGGGGTATCTTGGGGGCCTTTCTGGGGCTTCGCGAGTGCTCGCTGGGGCTCCTGCAGGCCTCCTCGCGGTCTCGGAGGCTATCTCTCCTTGGAGGGCTCGCAATGTAAGTTTCTCTTTTGGGGGCCATCTTCGGGACCTCCTAGTCCCCTCTCGGGGGGCTTACCGTATTGGCGGGGTATTTCGGGTTTTCGGGACAGTCTTGGGCGGTTTGCAGACTGAAAGGCCGGACTGCCAAATCTATGGTACAGAAATTGGAATCAAACATTGGGGCGGCCACCAGAGCCTCCAAGACGGCCCCAATGGCGCCCCAGATGTCTCCAGCACGGTCCCCGGGACCATTTTGAAACATGTTGGATGTGTGAAAGTTTAACCACGCCCCGACGACCTTGAGGAAAGTCACGTGGCAAGCCTTGGAAATGCCCAAGAGCGGCCGGAAATCCAGGCCATCGGCGCCTTCACGATACTTTGCGCAGAGAGTGCGAAGTGGCGCGAGAACTCTCACATCTGTGCCTCGCGGCAGGGTGGCGGATGTATACACCTGTGTGTATAGATTGATAGGTTTACAAACACTTAGGTACACATGTATTTGCATCTATGTATATGTATAACGCATACACGCAACATTGTAGATGTATGGATATAAATAAACATATATGAGAACGCGCTTGTGACAATGGGAATATGTAGAAAGTTTGAAGCATACGTACATGCACGCGCACACGGATTTCATTTTTCATAGTGATCAAATGATAGTCGAGTGTACTTATATACAGAGATGCGCACAGGGGGAAACGATGGAGCGAGGGAGCGGGCGGGAGACACTTCCAGCGTCGTGCTCTTCTTCGCGACGTGGGCCCCAGAGCTCTCGACCCTGTCCCTGGCGCCGGCTTCTTGTCGCGCGGGCCGCCTCTTGACTGTCCGGGGGGGCACGCGCCAGGGAACAGCTGGCCGTCGCGGCTAGTTCGGGGAATGATGGTAAGTTTCCGGGAGGGAGGGAGAGAGAAAACGAGAGAACGAGAGTACGATCAATATATTCAAGACGTTTCGCGTTCTTTGCCCGACCACTTCAGTTCTCGCCGGACGAGGCGAAGACGGCTCCCACGACGGCATGAACATATACAGAAAATCATACAAGATCCCCTGGAGGTGTGTTTTGATTGTTCTGCCTGCGCTCCATTGTTGTTCCCAACGCATGGCCTGTTAGGGTCAGGCATGCCGCGTGGCTGATTGATAGTGTATTTGCCGTTTGGTCGTCGTTCCGTCATCAGTACCGACGGATCCATGATATGGACATTGGTTCTTTGGGCCTTTGTGTACGATCCACACCAGGAGGCCAGCAAGCGGCGCCCCTTGGGCCTTTGGCGTCCTTTCGGTTTTCGGCGCTCCTTGGATTTTCGGCGCTACTTTGGTTTTCGGCGCTCCTGTGGTTTTCGGCACCCCTTTAGCTTTCGACGCCCTTTTTGCTTTTCTGCGCGGCCTTCTTGGTTTTCGGCGCATCGTTGGTTTTCGGCGCACATTTGGGCCTGGCGCCCCTTACGTTGGCGCTCTGTTGGTTGTCGACGTCCTTTCGCTTTTTCGGCGCACCTTGGCGCCCTTCTAAGTTTTCGGCGCTCTTTGGTTTTCAGCGCCCCTTTAGTTTTTAGCGTCCTTCGGTTTTCGGCGCGGCTTTTGTTTTTGGCGCCCTTTGGTTTTCGATGCACGTTGTGTTATCGTCGCGTCTTTGTTTTGTCGGCGCCCTGTTGGTTTTCAGCGCATCGTTTGTTTTCGGCGCCCCTTTGGTTTTCGGCGCCTCTTTGGTTTTCGGCGCCACATCGGTTTCTGACACGCCTGCGGTTTTCGGCGCCATTTTGGTTTCGGCGCCCTGTCTGTCTTCGGAGTTTATGTTGTATTCGGCCCCGAACAGTCCGAGAATGCAGGGCGCCAGCCCCTAGAATATTATAATCCAGAATTCAGGGCAGAGGGAGGGAGGGAGGACACATGAAGCCTGGGGAAAACTCCTCTCGAGCCTCGCGGCACGGTGGTTGATGTACATATTTATAGAGAGAGAGAGAGAGAGGGAGAGAGAGAGAGAGACAGAGAGACATAGAGAGAGAGGTAGAGAAGCAACAGACAGACAGGCAGACAGACGGACAGACAGACAGAGGGAGAGAAAGAGAGACATGTATTGATAGTGAGAGAGGGAGAGAGAGAGAGAGAATTAGAGTGATATAACAATCCAATGTTTGAAAACAGCGAGAGATCAAGAGAGAGAGAGAGAGGGAGCGAGAGGGAGAGAGACAGAGAGAGAGGGAGAGAGAGAGAGAGAGAGATGGAGAGAGAGAGAGGGAGAGAGGGAGAGAGAGATACTATAGACACATATATATGTATATATATGTATATCAAAAATTGAGAACGAGAGAGACAGAGTGAGAGAGGGAGCGAGAGAGAGAGAGAGACGGAGAGACAGAGGGAGAAAGGGAGAAAGAGAGACAGAGAGAGGGAGGGAGAGAGGGAGAGTGAGAGAGAGGGGGAGAGAGAGAGAGAGAGAGAGAGCGAGAGAGAAAGAGATGTTGAGAAAGAGAGAGGGAGCGAGGCAGAGACTGAGAGAGAAGGAGTGAGAGAAAGCGGGAACAATCGATAGAAAATGATGGCATACATACATACAGGAGTGAAGAAAGAGAGAGAGCGAGAGAGCACACACAGACAGAGAGGTACCAAGAGACAGAGAGGGTGAGAGATGGAGGGACAGAGACACAGAGAGAGAAGGAGAGCAAGCGAGAGAGACGAGAGAGAGAGAGAGAGCGAGGGAGAAACAGAGAGGCACACACTCATACACGGAGACGCAGGCACACACACACACACACACACACACACGCGTTTTGGTGTCGCGGCCTCGCGCGTGGTGGCGCAGCTTAAATTCACACGGTCACACAACGCACAAACCTACAAGCTCACACACAACCACACACAGACACACACACACACACACAGACACACACACACACAACCGCCGGCGGGCGCTCGCCAAGGCCCAAGTATTGGTGGCCTCAGCGGCAGCCGTCCCGGGGAACCCATCCCGGCGGCGCCGTGCTCCCAACGCGCTCGCGCGCGCGCTCGCCAGAGGGATATCGACCCCGCGGGCCCCGGCGGTCCGTCCTGCGGGACGACGTCGGGCACAGCAGCCTGGAGGAGGACGAGGGGAGGAATGAGGAGGATGTCAAGGTGGGAAGGTCGAGGGAAGGAGGGGGAGGAGAAGTGGAAGAAGGGGGACAGAGGAGGATGGAGGGAAGGAGAAGGGAAGGAGGGGGAGGAGGAGGAGGAGGAGGAGGAGGAGGAGGAGGAGGAGGAGGAAGACAGCTATCAGATGCTGAAGGGGGGGAGGCAGAGGGTTGGTCGACCCGACCCGGCCCAATACCTCAGGCTCCGACGGCCCAATTTCATCACCTCGTCGTTGTTTTCATGGCCGCTGCATCTCTGGACAGGAGCCATGGAACCATGCAGCGGGGATAGGACAGGACAGGCGACTGGCAGCCTTCAAACTGTTTTTTGGATGCCCGCCTGTTGCCAGGCGGAAGAACAGGAGAGTGGGGAGGTGGAGGAGGAGGAGGAGGAGGAGGAGGAGGGGGAGGAGAAAGAGGAGGGATGGCGAGAGGCAGGAGGAGGCAAGAGGAAAGGGATGAGGAGGATTAGCGGTGTGCTGGTGGCGTGCGCACCTGCGGGAACCGATAGGTGGAGTTCTCTATGGAGACGGCGGTCAGCGTGAGGGAGAGAGGAGGAGGGGAAGAGGGAGGAGTAGTCAGGGAGGGTGATCAGAGGGAGGCGGGAGGCGGGAGGAGAAGGAGGGAGCAAAAAGGGATGGAAGAGAGGGGGGAAAGTAGGAGGTGGGGAGAGGGAGAGGAAGGGGGAAGGATGGGGAGGTGAGGGAGTGGAGTGCGGAGGCGGCATGATGATAATGAGGAGGAGGATCAGGAGCAGGAGCAGGAGGAGCAGGAGGCGGAGCAGGGGTGTGTGGTACCGTAGGAGGGGAATCAGGGTAACCGAGGAGGGAGGACGATGAGAAAGAGGAGGAGGAGGAGGAGGAGGAGGAGGAGGAGGAGGGGGAGGCCGAGGGGGGGAGGGGGAATGAGGGGATTGGGAGGAGGAGAAGCAGCAGAAGCAGCAGCAGCAGCAGCAGCAAAAGCAGGAACGATAGGAGGAGGACGGTGACCTGAGTGAGGAGGGGAAGGCGAATCAGGGCCTCTCCTGGATGGATGTGTGTTCGCTTCCTTACTCGCGCCCACCCCATCAGGGTCTCTGCCGCCACTAAGGGCAGAAGTAAACACGTACATTTGGCTAACTCCTCTCTCTCTCTCTTTATCTCTATGTGTTCGTTTTGACGGTTTCTCATTATCTCTCCCCCTCTCTCTCTGTGTTTTTATTTCTTTCTCTCTCTCTCTCTATTGATGTATCGTTATTCCTCTCTCTTCTCTCTCTCTCTCTCTCGTTTTCTCTCCCTCTCTCGCTCTTTATGTGCGTTCGCTCTATGTCATTATCTCTCTCTCTCTCTCCGCCTCTATCCTCTACGTAGGTCTACTGTACACGTTCAGGGTCTATCAATATAATATGCATATGTGTATGTGGGTCCACACATAAAGGTGTACTGTCTCCTTCCCTCTCCACCCCCAAATCTCCCCTCGCACTCTCCTCGCTTCCCTCGCCTTCTTCCCTGTCGGGCGGTACGTGGCAGTCAGGGTGGCCATGTTGGTATGCCAGAAATGGGTACGGAAATGGTTGGCACGATGCACAACAGCAAACGTTTCAAAATCGGCAGCGGCCGCTGTTGGCCGGGCAGCCGCTTGTTTTAGGCGGACCACGTCCGTGGCGAAACCAGAAGCGAGCTCCGCTCGAGGTGGGCAGGACCTGTTTTCGATCTTCGCCCCCGCTCTTTCGCTTCCTCTTTTTGCGGATTCTCGGGGGGGGGCGCCGTCGGGGCCCGCGGGGGTGTCAGGGGCGCGGGCGCCAGCAGGGGGGGGGGGGGCGGGCCCAGGGGGGGGGCACCGACCTCCCAACCTCCCTTCCTCGCCGATCGGAGCCTGCGGGCCCCAGCCTCCGGAGGGGCGCCAGCAGCATGCCACCAGCAGCCCTGGCCTGGTCCATCCTGGGCCCCTGGGCTGGCGTGTGGACCTCCAGGCCCAGGCCGGGAGGGCCTGCACGCCAGTCCGGGGCCCAGGACGGGCCTGGCCAGGGCTGGTGATGGTGTGTTGTGTGGAGCTGTCCTCGGAAGGTCGTGGCTACCAATTGTGGGCGCCTATCGGCACTTCATCGGCGATGCGACGCCGATTCCAGGTCAGTACGCGAGGAGGAAACATGGCATAAACAAACACTTTGGGAGGCGCTGATTTCTTGCATCGATGCTGAGGCCCCCTGGCGGCGCCTCCAGCGCCGACCCTGGCGCGCTCCGCGCGCCAGAGAGGTGGATTCAACGCCGATCCAAGAAGTTCGCGCGGACTTCCGAAAGTGCATGTCATCGCAAGTTGTTCTTATCACAATTGTTCGGCGGCGCGCCCAGGGGGAATGTGATAGGAGGCAGGCCGTCTCAGAAGGCAGCGGGGCTTCTCTGAAGCCCTCTGGCCTTCTCAGCAGCCCTGTGTGGCTTCAGAGGAGGCTCTGGAAGCTCCACAGAAGGCCAGAGGCCTTCTGAGCCCTGTGGCAAGGGCCGCCCCCTCCGCCTTCTCCCAGATGGCCTCTTGGGCCGTCTTGGCGTCCTGGGCGCGCCGTCGTACTAGTACGGCGGCGCCTGAGCCAGACTGTATCAAGAATCGCCGTCGGACTCACACGACGCGCCGTCGACTCATAGGACAGCGCACCGTCCAGTATAATTCTCCCCCCCTGAGCCAGCCAGCCCCCTCTTCTGCCGCCCCTCGGGTCGGGGGGGGGAGGAAGACGGGGCCCGCCTGCCCGCGCGGGATGGCGCACCCCCGCTGCAGCCCGGCGGCGGCGCTCGCCCTGTGGGTGGCCTGGGCCGCCGCCGCCAGCGGCGACGAGGCGGGACCTCGTCGGATGCAGTCGGTGATCGCTCGAGGCGGAACTCGCCTGCACGTCTGCGCGCGCGAGCAGAGCATGGCACAGACACAGACCACGCGCAATGGCGAGTATTCCTTTTGTCTTCTTCTTCTCCCCCTCCTTACTCGGCTCTTCCTCTCTCCTCCTCTTCCTCCTCCTTCCCTGCCTTCTTCTCCTCCCTCGCCTCTCCCGTTTCTCCTCCTCCTCCTCCTTCTCCTCCTCATTCTTGTCAAGGACAGGTACGCGCAGTGCGCGATGAAGCGTGTACAGATGGGTGGGGGTAAGGAGGGGGGACCCATCCCTAAGTCCTCCCGACACTCTTTGACCCCCCATTGAAAATTGTAGGGGGCGGGTATGTATAGAACTTCCGCCCTTGTTTCGCACTTCGACAAGCGTCGACGACGACGACGAACATGACGACGGCGCCGTCACTGACGACGGCCCACCTTGTATCATCGACGAGCGAGGTTTGCGTGTAGTGCTCCGCCCGCCCGCCCTCTATTTGTCCCTTGCTTTCTCGTCGTGCCGTTTTCCTTGGTATGCTCTCGTCTATGTTGCGCCAGCCTTGCCATCAACGTGTGAGGTTTCTATTCAACGTCTCTGGTGTCCCGCCCGTCGTCATCGCAGCCGTCGTTGCTTACCTTGGTTTCCATTGCGCCTTATCCACCAACCTCGTCCCGTCAGCGAACGAAGCTTACACTCAATTTCCCACCCGCCCGCCTGCTTCAATGTCCCGCTGGCCTGGTCGGCCCGCCCGCTTTGATTTTGACCGTGCTGCCCGGCCGTCTTAATGTCCCGCCAGGCCGATCGACCCGCCGGATTCAATGTCCCTCCCGCGTCGTCATCGGTCTTCGGTCGTCGCCGTCGTTTCCATCGTCGTCAGCGTTGTCGTCGCCGTCGTCGTCAGTGACGTCGTCGCCGTCGTCGTCGTTCTGTTCGTTCTCGCTTACTGGCGCGCCTCGAATAGGAATCTCTTCCAGAGTGGTGAGGGTCCCAGTTCTGGATGAGGGGGGGTGATTTTTCGCAGCGCTCGTGAAAGACGGTCTCTCTCGCTTTTTACAGGGTCAGTTTCTCAACTCGAGTGTTTTGTCCCCCCGCGGGCCAGAATTCGTCAGACAAGTTCGGTCATTCGTTTTCACTACGCACGGGGGTCTGGGAATCGTGGGTGGCAGTCGACCCCCAGACCCATTCTGGCACACGTTTGGATTAGAATTAATTTCGAGGTGGATAACCCCGTGCCCCGGATAATGCTCAAAACCCCTTTTAATCCCCCGGCGTTGATTATCCCCGGCCAAGACACTATTGGTCGGCGGGGGGGGCGGCGAGGCCGAACTTTGTGATTCACCGGGTCAAGTACCAATCGTTGCTGCTATCTTCTTATCATGAGTAGCAGCGTTACTCAGGGACGTAGGTTTCGAGCGCTAGAGGGCTGGGGGGGGAGGGGGGGCGAAATCTAGGTCCTTGGGCCCACCACCTCCCAGCCTAGATTTCGAGTGCTCTGGCGCTGGGGGAGCCGAAATCGAGGTCACTGGAATTCTTATGCTGCGACTTGCCGGGAACAATTCTTGTGATCCTCCCAGAACCCCGAACTTTATTATCCCTGGGCCGTTATTCCCAGGGGTGTAGGCTTACAGACAGCCATAGCGACGAGAGAGCCCCGACAAGGCTTAGGAACAAGAGAACTAGCAAAAACCCAGACCTCGAAAGCACCTGGATCTGTTGGCGGCGCGCGACATGGGGTGGGTGGATAGAGGAGGCCGTCCAAGAAGGTGGATTCATCTCAGGAGGCAAATGGGCCTCTCTAGAGTCCTCTTGCGCTGTCCAATGAAGGCCCGCCCCGCCCCTCTGGGAAGGCACGGGGCTGGTTCGGTTCCAACCCGTTCGGTCTGGTCGTTCGGACCAGTTTCGACCCACCGTTTTGATTCGAATTGATCGCTTCAGTTCTGGCTGGTTCGGTCAGGGCTCGGGTTCGGCCAGTTTGGCTGAAGAAGTTGTCGGGTCGGTGGAGTGTCGGGCCCCCTCCCCCAGGAACCAAACAATGTTCTAAGATTTGTTTGTGCTTTCCACGTCATGTTCTTAGAACATTTCTGGCTGGGACTGTCTTGTTTGAACGCATCGGGTTTATGTTCTAAAAACGTTTTTTTCCTTAGAACATTTTGGGGTTCTATCAACATTTCGTGCTAGGACTATAGGAATGCCGGGACGGTCGGCCCCTGCTCAAACCCCGCTCTCGCCGCTCGGGCGCCGCCCCCCTCGGCGCGCACCGCCGCCTCCCCCCGTGGGCCGCCCCAGGCCTCGGCGGCCCTCCGGGCCGACGGCGCCTGCGCGGGGCCGGCGTGCGGCGCGGGCGGCGATGCGCTCGGCCTGCTGCAGACGCGGGGCGCGGCGCGCGTGGCGGGGGGCGCCAGCAGCAGGAGGGCAGGGAGGGGGTTAAAACAGGGCTAGGATCGGGATAAATCGCTCCAGAGCGTTCCAGAGCGCTCTCAGAGCGTTCCGGAACGCTCTGGAGCGGCCGCGGCGCCCAATACACCCTCCAAGCCCGCCGATTCTCATAGATTTCGAGTTATCCCGATCCGATTTTGTCCCGATCTTCGCGTCGTTTTAGGGGGGGAAACTTGCGGGGCCAACGATGGTCTGGTTGACCCAGACAGGGGGTCCAGCGAGAAGGGGGTGGTGTACCAGATTTGCGGCAGTCTGTGTTTGCGGGGTGGCGTCCAAAAGTCATTCCGCTGCGCAGGTGCATTGCTGGATGTTCGCGCGATGCCATACACATGCCACAAGCCTGTTGCGTCACACCCTTCCAAGGGGACCCCTTGTTGGGCCAACCAAAGATAGGGGGGGAGGGTAGGCTCACGGGGGGACGCATCAACGCTCCATCGTCCTCGGATCTGTCGGAGGGTCGCTCCGCATCACCGGTGCATCGCTGATACGGCTCGATATGGAGCTCGATTTTCACCTCGCGAGCGTCGCCGATGCACCGCCGATGCATCGCCGATGCATCGCCGCCGTATCGCCGATGCATCGCCGATTCGGCGCGATCCTCCGATATCGTCTACTCGGACCCCATCCAGGAGGCCTCTACAGGGGCCCGATACTGCACCACCGTGCGAGTTCGCCATCGGGGGTCATCGCCCACCAATCGGGCCTATCAGGCATAGAGGAGGCGACCCGAGGGCCCAGGCATGCTTGCGTTGTCAATAACAAAAAATCGGTTAATACTGTTCGCTCTTATCTGTTGGCGTGCCATTCAACACGTGTATCCCAAACTTTCGATAACAGCCCTCGTCTTCGATCGTATCCCCTTGTGATATATCTTTCTTACCTGCAACGTGTATTTCGTGCAGCCTTTAAGGCAGGGGAAGAGAGGATGGATGGAAGGACGAGACAAGAGGGAGGGAGGAGGATGGAGCACGAAAGAGAGTAGCAGGAGGGGGCTAGGAACAGAAAACACGTGACATAATCACGATTCTTGGATCTGGCGACCACGCGCCAGATCAGCGGATCCATAATCCATGTTAGCGGGCATCCGATGATGGGGTCAGGGGGGAATGACGATTCGAGCTCGGTTCCCCCCCCCCGAGCTGCCCTTGTCGTTGGACATGCGAACAAAAAGAAAGGATACATTAGCATACAGAAGAAGCCCATGCCAGGAAGCACCCTGCTTGCCACCAGGGTGCCCTGGGTTTCTTTGGTGTTGATGGTTCTGCTATGGGAAGCGCGATGCTCCCAGACCACAAAAATCAAGGGGCGCCCTGGGGTCTCAGCGCCTGCTGTAACCGTTCGGAGCGCCGTGCGGAGCTCTCGGGCCGGAGCTGGAGCCCCCCCCCCTGGCGGCGCCTCTGGCGTCGCACCGGGTGCGGCTTTGGCACCCCAACGGGCGGGCGCCCACCGCCCCCTCTCGGGAATTCCGCGCGGACCATCGAACATTCCCTAATCAGTGCTTGCACTGAAGGGGTCCCAACGGATATTGAAAGAGAAGGCGAATGTTTCACGCCGATGCTGGTAGCAGGCCGGGTTCCCGGGTTCCCTGTTCCGGGTTCCCGGGTTCCCGGTTCCCGGGCCGATTTCGGTGGGCGGCGAGGTTCCCAGGTTCCCGGGTTCCGCGCGGACCATCGAACATGTATGTTTTTGTCCGTGTGTTCTGTTACAGTCGGCACTCAGTAGTAGGTCGACCCTGCCAAATCCAGGGTGCCTTTGCGCCCGTGTCTTGCGGCCCATGCCTCCTGCATTCCTTTGGCAATTTGGCCCTCGGAAGGGTCTTGTGTCCTCTCGCGTTTCCTGTCCAATCAATGCCGACTGTATTTCCAAACTTCCGAACGCACCGATGCATCGATGCCCTTTCCCTCGTCTAGGGTTTCTCGGGGGCCTCCCGTGGGGGCCCCCACCGCCGCGGTTGGATTCGCGTCGGGGTCCTGACCATGACGCGCGCAAGGAGAGGTCGAGGGAGCAGCGACATCGGTATTGCTTCGTTCACTCAGGAACGCCACGGCCGCAGCGGAGGTTGACGCCGGTCAGGTCGCCCCGTCCGCTTTTCTCAAGTTTCGAAGAGTTACACCTCCGCACGTATGCCTTTTTAATCGTGTGCTGGCTGGGTGGGGCTCTTGGAGCGCCCCCGTCAACACGGCTGGATCCGTGTCAAAATTCCGGCCAGGATGCGCCCCGCAGGGCTCTGACCGCGGGCCCCAGGATTCGGACGCCTGGGAGCAGTCGCACAGGAGTTGCTTCTGTGTCACTCGGCGCCTAGAGGCCATTCTCCGGGCCTCCTCATCCCTCCTCCGCCTCCGCCTCCTCCTCCTCCGCCTCCTCCTCCGCTTCCTCCTCCTCCTTTTCCTCCTCCTCTTCCTCCTCCTCCTCCTCCTCCTCCTCCTCCTCCTCCTCCTCCTCCTCCTCCTCCTCCTCCTCCTCCTCCTCCTCCTCCCCCCACCCTCAACAGGGACTTCCGCGGACCTCGGAAGGCTTCCCAGGGGAGGTTCCTGGCCACAGGCCCAGGCCAGCCCCGCCTTTCGGAGATCTGCGCGCGGATTTCTGAGCCCAGCGCCGGACCCCCCCTTCCTTCCTGCGAGGACGGAGGGGCCACGTCACCACCGCCAGGGGGGCCAAGGGGGGTCCCCGATGCCTCGCCGAGTTGGGATCGGCGATGTGTCGAGCGAGAGCGGGGGGGGGAGGAACACACATACGAGGACCCCTCCATGGCGCCTCGTGCTGGTGGTGGTGGTGTCGCGTGTCCTTGTTCCTCAAGCGCCGCCCCGAGCGCTCTGCGCGTCCTGGGGAAGGGGTGCGTGGGGAGGGGGGTCTAGCCTGTGTAGCCGAGCAGGACGGAGGACTGAGGAGGATCGAGGGTCGGAGTTTTGTTGGGCGTCTGTTGTCCTTTGCTGGCCTGTCGGGGCGCTGTGGTTGTCGAGGCAGGGTTTCTCTCAGCAGCCCCAGCCAGAACGCACCCGCAGGACAGGCCGTGCCCGCGAGATGGCGAGCGGGTGTCCGGGGTGATGGGGGCGACAACTCTCAGGGGTCGAGCGAACCGAAAATGACGAGTCGTCGGGGGTACATAAGTTGCCCTCTCATGCACGTCCGCTTTATCTCTCAATCACTCCTCTGTCTCGTGCACGCCCACGCCACCTCTCCCTCCCTCTCTCTCTCTCGAGCCGCGCTTCACTGCACGAGCTTGCGCGGCGTTCCCAGTTTGCCTGGCGACCACTGGACTCGCACGTGGTGGCGGTGCTGTGGTGGCTGCGGTCCCACCGTCCTTCCGTCAAAATCAAGACAAGAAAGTTGACGACGCCAGCCAGGTCGCACGGGAAGGCGGCGTGCTGGCGCTGAGCGACAGGGGCAACTTGACGGACAGCGGCCCCTGGCTTCCTCATTCGCGCTCACAAGCCACACGCCTTCCGGCGCTCGGGCAGGCATCAGTTTCAAGCACGGTCACACGGGTTTGGGCGAAACGCCGTGCTGGCATAACATAGCAAGAGGCGGAGGAGGAGGAGGGGGAGGAGGAGGAGGATCAGGATATGGATCAGTTCTCACTCAGGAGCCCATCGAATCTGGAGATCAATACGTTACCGGAGCCACACCTTCGCAGGCAGTCAGTCAAAGGCCGTGCACCCGGGAGGACGCATAATTAGGCAGGACAAGTTGTGCATATTGGCACGCTCGCAATTACATGTGAAACATGAAACAGACACGCGAACGCTTGCACTGGCCAGGGAGAGGGGGGATGGGGAGGGAGGGGAAAAGAGGACGATGGGGGAGGGAGGGGAGAGCGAAGGGCTAAAGCACGGAGGCCGGCATCACACGTGCTGTTTAAGCTGACGCATTTCGGATGCCCACTGCTCGTCCTCCCGCCCCCCCCCCCTTCCTGCCCTCGGGACAGGGTAGGGTAGGGAAAGGGGGGGGGTACGAAACCGGCTGCACGCAGTTGGTCTCGGCCCCGCCGCCCGAGCCCATTCCTTGATACCTGGGTGCCTCCCGGCGCCAGGAGGCGCCAGGAAGTCCAGCCACGTGCGCCAAGTTTTTGACCTACCCTTTGCTATCCTGCCCTTTCGTCCCCCCCGATGCTCCCCCCGCTCGGGCGGGGCCGACTGTCCTCTGGAGGCGATCCTGACCAGGCCCAGGCTGGGCGTATGCGGTCAAGACGCTGAGGTACGGAACTCGTTGGGCTCGTTCCTTACTTACTTGGCGTTCCTCCTTGCAGCGCGATTGCTGTCTACGCCCCCCTGGCCTCGCCAGGCGAAAGGGGGGGGGACCACACCACTGGGAGGACCCTCCCTGGCGTTTCGCGCTGGTGGTTCGGCACGACCGAAATGGGTACGAAAAGAATGGGTGCAACGCCCAACAGCACTTCCTGTTCATTTTGAACAGGACTCGCTGTGGGTGTCGCCGCGGCCTGTGTACACTTGAGACAGAAGGCCGCCTGCCCAACTGCGGCCGCTGTTGGCTTGGGACAACATTTGCTGATGGGCATTCTACCCATGTTTTCCGTACCCATTTCGGGCGTCCAAAGTGGTGGTGGTGGTGGTGTCCCCTTCCCTCAGTTCCTGCACCAGCCACCAGGCCCGGGATCGTGGTCGTCGCGGCCCGGTTGCTCGGCGTGCGGGCGGATGTGTGGTGTCCTGCAGCGATGATTGCCGTCCACCGCGCACTCTCCTGCATCCCCCTCGATCCTTCTCCACTCCTGTTGCTCCTTCTCCACCACCGTGCCCCAGTCCTCTCCAGACACCCTCGCGTCGTGAACAAAAAACACGACAGGTTTTGTTTTGTGTTGGTTGTTGCAATGTCGGCCTTTAGGTGCCCTCACGGGGCCCCGGTGCCGTCAAACGATTATTCGGAATATCAATGTTTTCCAGGGGAAGTGGTCCGAATCTCTGAGGCCCACGTGCAAAAACACTACTTGGGTCTCCCCCCGTCGTCATGTTACTCCTTTCTCTCCTCCGTGTACTCCTGCTGCTGCTCTCTCTTCCTGATTTTTCCTGGCTCCTGTCCGTCCTCCTTCTTCTGCTCCTCCTCCTCCTCCTCCTCCTCCTTCTGCTTCTCCTCCTCCTCCTCCTCCTTCTCCTCCTCCTCCTCCTCCTCCTCCTCCTCCTCCTCCTCCCCGCCCGTCGCAGAAGCCAGGCTCGTGGGGCGCCTCCAGTAGGGCAGGGTCAGCGCGCGCAGGGGAGAAGGAAGTGCGCGGGGTGGCGTTGCCGCCAGAAGCGGGACGCGGCGGCCGCAGGTGGGCGCCACGAGCAGGAGCCACGGGCCACCCATGAGCTGGGGGGGGTTGCCGTGGCCCTGGCCACAAGCCGGGCGTCGTTGCCTCAAGCATGCCACGGGCAGAGGCCGCGATCCGGGCGTGAGCTCCATGTGTGCAGGGCGCAGTTGCCAGGGCTGGGCCACGAGCAGGCCGCGTCTGCCGACAGGCCGCCACACGTGCCAGCCACCCTGCCACTGGTGATGTGACCGCATGTCGTCCTGATGTCGTTCCGTGATCGGCCTTAGCGGGGCGGGGGTTGCGAGAGAGTCGTGCGATCTTTGTTCTGTCCGCGCTGTTCGGCAGCATGGGTATGCCCAGGCTGGGGCCGACGCAGAGGTCCACTGAGGTCATCTATACGTCTAGGCTCCGCTATGCCTGGCCAGCAGCGCAATCCTGTGTCATGTGGCAGTCGGCCACGCGCAGAGGGGTGTTAGGGGGAGAGGGAAGGCTTCTTGGAGGCACACCTGCTTCTCGGAAGGCGCGGGCCTCGTCTGCAGATGGCCCGCGCCTTCTGAGACGCAGCCTCCTCCTAAGAAGCCCCCCCCCCTCCCCCTCACCTCCTTGCGCGCGCCGCCAACCCATGCCTGGCCCTTGGCATCGCTCGGACGTCTGCATTAGTCCTTCGGCGAGGACCATCGAGGAGCATCCTTGATCATTTGGCGACAGAACCTCGCACGAAACCGAAAAAAGCACAGGGAATGGACGTCCGAGCGATGCCCAGGGCCAGCGCAGTCCTGTGTCCTGAGGATCGTGTGCGGACCCGAGCCTCCTGGCCTCGGCCAGGAGGGCGTGCGCGCCACGCCGGGCCTCAGGATGGCTCCGGCTGGGCAGGCATGGCGGCACGACCTGGGAGGCCACGGAGACGAAGGACATAGCCGGGATCGGGCCTCCGCCACCGCCCACCCCCCTTCTCCCCGTTTTTTTTGAAGGCGCAAACTCATCAGAGGACGCAAATGTGACGAGACGATAAATTACGCGCCGCCCGGGGCCTCTTTGACAGGGCCTGTTTGACAGGGCCGTCCTCATCCTCCTCTCGCTGCGCCTCCTTCCTCCTTCCCCCCGCCTCCTTCCGCCTCCTCTCCCTCCGCCTCCTTTTTCTGACGTCGGTCGGGTCTGAAGAGCAAGCTTGTGGCCTCCTGGCCTCCTCCTCCTCCTCCTCCTCCTCCTCCTCCTCCTCCTCCTCCTCCTCCTCCTCCCCCCCCTCTCCTCGTCCTCCTTTCCCCAATCTGGCCTCCGCCTCCTCCCCCCCTTTTCCCTGTCCTCCTCGTTCTCCCCTCCCTGCGCCCCGTTCCTCTCGGCCTACGACGACGTTCAGCCCCTCCCGAGCAGAGGACGGGGGCAACGCGAGCGAGGGCAGATCCGACTGCAACGAGAATCTCGGCCAAACATACGACGTCTGCTTCTTCGCGAACGTCTGGCGACCTCGTACGTCGTCGTCGCTGCCGTCATCCTCGTCGTTGTCCTCATCATCGTTCTCCTGCTCCTCTCTCTCCTCACTCCTCTGTTTAATCCTCTCCTCAGGCTTATGGGAGACGTCATGTGCGCGCAGTCGTGTGGCTGGACGCACATGGCCCTCTCGACGTTCTGCAAGAAAGAGAAAGGCACATATCAGAATGACATCAATTGCGGCACGGGGTACTCCTGCGCAATGGATTATAGAACCTTGATGAAGATGAAGGGCTACGACCCGAATAACCTCTCCACCGCGAACGCGATGGGTGCGACAGGCCTTGCCGCGAGTGAGGATGAGGATGACGATGAGGAGGATGTGGTGAAAGGTGAGGATGGGCAGGGAGAAGAGGAGGATCAGGAGGACTAGCAGAAGGATGAGGAGGAGGAGGACGACGAGGACGATGCGGTCCGCATCCTCATCTTTCTCGCCCCCTCCTCCCCCGACAGGCCTGGCCGCGAACGGCGTCGAGTTCTTTGCCAAGTCTACGCCGGGGTGTTCCATGTCCACGATCGGCAGCTGGATCCGCTGAGCCAGCCTCCCTCCACCCCTGCAGGTGCCAGCCTACCCCGCCAGCCAGAGTGCAAGGCGCGGTGTGCGCTGACGCCGCGCGTCGTCCGCGACGGCCCCGGTGGTCGCGGGCGGGGGGCAGCGGTCGAGAAGGAGCGCGTCGGAGGAGCACGATGAACGCACTTGGAGCCGTCTGGAGGTCTGAGGTAGCCCACCACTGGTTCTGGCCAGCAGGGCGGGCAGGTTCGAGGATCTGGGTTCGGGAAGGTTTTTTTTAGTAACAACATATTTTTCGGCCTCTGGGGGGCCGTTAAAAACGGATTCTGGGTGAAACACTTCAACAGATGGTCTCCGGGTGGTGTCCGGGGATCGATTTTGACCAGGTTTGGCTTCATCGACTTCCGATTTCTTGGGTCCCAACCAGTCCAGATCCCCCGGCCGCTTGCAAACCCCACGTCGTCTGGTCGGCCAGGAAGCCAAGGGATTCAGGCAAGGACGTCGGCGTACAGACGCCCAGGGTGGCGCAAGGCCAGGCAGCGGCTGGGGTTGCGCAGGGTAAGTCGGGCCGAACGAAAGGGGGGGATAGGGAAAGGAGGGGTTACGAAGTCTGGTGCTTGCAGCTGGTTTCGGCAACGCCACGGGGCCCATGTCTCGATACACGGGCGCCTCCCGGCGCCGGGAGGCGCTGGGAAAATCAGCTACGTGAGCTGATTATCTACCCTACCCTTTGCTATCCCCCCTTTCGTTCCCCCCGAGTAAAGAGGGGCGCGACATCCAGGGAACCCGTGGAAGAGTGCCTCTCCGCTCGCCTGGCACTTTGTCCTGGCGCGGTGAGGGCTGCAAGGACCGGCTCCCATTCGCTCGCGCACGACGGCAGCCCACGAGCTGGGAAGCTGGGGCGTCTGTACTCCATACTTCCTCGGCGCGGGGGGCTGCAGGACAGATAGCAGACTTGGAAGTACTTAACACTAGTGCGTTGCAACGAATCGCTGCGTAAGTGGCGGATTTCCAGATCTACGTTTTCATCCGTAAACGCAACTAAATGCGACTGAAACGTAAGTCCGCGGACGCTTGTCAGACGTCTCGTTTCTGTTGCGCCTTGCCCAGACATGGTTTCGTTGCCCCGAACATAAGTCAGTGGTGATAGTAACAGTATAGCACAGAGGTGCCTGGCAACTTAAATTAAGACTCAAGATTATGTTGCTAAAAATTAAGAGTCGCGCCATGATGCGATCACTTAGTTGTTTTAACATGTAAGCATTAACAGCGATTCCAAGCTGGCTTCTCCAAGCCAGAGACGGAAATCTGAATTTATCGCGTTGATGCGCCACAACGGTGCGTCGACGCACAATGTCAACACGAAGCGCTCGAAAACAGCATGGGCAACTGTCACCAATGATTTGTTCTAAAATGCTTGTGGTCCTTGCGTGCTGATGCAACTGCGTGCCCTGTGATGTTCTCGGTTGCTCGTGGAACGCGGCCCCCTGGCGGCGGCGGGGCGCGGCGGGGGAGGGCGAAGCCTTGCTGTTCTCGGTTGCTCGCGGCCCGCGGACCCCTCGCGGGTAAACGTCATGGAGGCATTGGAACCCCATGGGAATCTTTGGAAGGCCCCAAGCACCCTGAATTCCCTGGGCCGTGGGGGGCCTTTGACCCCTGGGATCCCCATGGGCGGCCCTAGACACCTTGAGCCCTGGACTCCTGAAAACCCTTGGGGGCTTCAGATCTCGCGCATTTCCACGCACCCCTCGCGCTGATCGCGGAGTCTGACGGATCAGCGGATCGCAAGGTTTGGTGGTCCTCCAAATTTGACGGGTCAAGTTTGGCTCAAATTTGAGAGGCCAAGCTTGGCGCGAAGGCGACACAACAGCTCAAACTTGAAGGGTCAAGTTTGGCTCAAACTTTAGGGGTCAAGTTTGGCGTAAATTGGGTGGGCGCCGCAAGGGAGAGAAGGGGGAGAGGAGGAGGAGGCGGAGAAGGAGGATGAGGGGGATGAGGAGGAGGAGGACGTTCCAAACGGACCATGGACCATTTGGGCTGAGGAGGAGGAGGGAGGAGGAGGGGGAGGTGGGAGGAGGACGACGCTCCAAACGGACCATGGACCACAAACCACCCTGCACTCGAATCTCTAACCTTGCACTTGTAGTAAATGCTGCAGGGTCGGAACATACCCCTGGGGACCCCGAGGGTGGCACCCGCAGGGCACCACTGGAACAGGGCGCCCGCAGGGCACCAAGGCGCGCGCAGTGCACCACAAGCACCGCCATGGCACCATCAAGAGAACGCGCCCGCATGGCACCCGTGAAATGTGCAGAGCGCGAAGCGCCAGAAGACAACCAACAAAAAAAACGTTAATTTCCATACGTGCCGAACGCGAAGCGTGACGATTATATAACAAGAGCGTTCTTGCAAATTGGCGTTGCCAGCGGTGCGTGTGCGTGTGTGTGTGTGTGTGTGTGCTTGTGTTTGTGTTTGTGTGTGTTGTTTGTGTTTGTGTGTGTTTGTTTTGTGACGTTGGTAAGAACGATTATATACAATAGCGTTTGTGTGCGTGTGTTTTGGTTTATGTTTCTTTTCCTGAGCCCGACCAGCTTGCTGTTTCACACAGTCCTGTTCTTCTTCGGCGCAGGGGCTGCGTCGCCGTGCGCTCTCCGAAACTCAACCAAGACCCTCCGCATCCAATTCCACCTGTGAGCGGCAGCACATACCTTTTTTTTCAAATATCTGTTCAATTGCTCGTCGAACCAGGCGCCGTACGCAGATGGCGACCCAGTAACATACACGGGTCCCACAAGATGGCAGCCTTGGTGGTGTTTGGGTTGGAATTTGATTTCCAACTCTCTGGCGATCCTCAAATGAATGTTGTATTCGTCGCAAAACGCTTGCACTTCCGAAGCCGACCAATTGCCTTTGTTCGCCTTGAGAATGCCAAGCATTCGACACAATGTCTGGCCGCACCGGAGAGCACTCGAATCTATAGGGAGGCTTCTAGCACTTGGCAGCACTAGCACTTCAGAAACAACAAATATTAGCATTGTGTTCGTTTCCGCCCCTTGCATGTTGAACTCGTATGATTTTTCTGATCCAAACATGTTGAATGTTAAGTTTTGGATATCTGCATTGGTTCTGCCAGCCTTATTCTCTACCTTGAGCCATGCAAACAACATGGCACGAATGCGTTCGAGTGAATGCGCATTCTTGCCATCTTTATTTGTGGACGGACTGGCAAACACACTGTGATCGAATAGCCACCAAATGCAACAATTCACATTAAAACCGAACACGCCAAGGGACAGACAGTGCAGCCAGTCGACTGCCATGCTGTTTGGATGTATATATGTATGTCTCCGGGCAGACAGTAGGGCACCTCCTCCGCACCGACGTTTCTTCGGACCGCCTCCAGAAGAGAGCCCGGAATGGTTTGTCCTTTCCGTCGAAGTCCAAACTGTTAGGCATGTCGCGGTGGGGCTCGACGCGATCTCGTTTCTTGAGGCCGAGTTCTGGAAGGTCAACCATGAGACAACGGCCTCTGTTGCCATGACTTGTCCTGTCGTACTCCAACGATCCACGGAGCCGTGGGGAATTATATTGTGTAACAAGAATCCAAAACTCGCAGCGGTTGCAAGCATGGTCGTACTTTTCAAGGGTATGCGGCTGCCACGGCATATCGCCAGTGCAGGATAAGCCAGCAATTGTATCCCAGCTATCATGATTACACTCGCACGCTGGGCAAGGGTGTTTGATTGTTCCGAAGGATGGGAAACCGTACATTTTCGTAGACTCCACCCAAACATGTTTCAACCGCAACACGACAGCCTTCTCTTTCTTTGATTTGGAGCACGATGCCTCCAGTGTCTCAGACTCGCCAGTCAGCTCCGTCATGCCTATTGGCTGGGGCAACTCCAGCAGCTAGCGACATCGAGCACCAACGCATCGCCAACTGGAGCACGAATGCCATCCCGTGCAACCGCACGAACAAAGATCATATTCCCGCACCACAGCGCAAACATGGCGCACGCCCGAAATAATGTTACACACCCGCAGCGCAATGCAGCTACCTGTTCGTGTGAAGCTGAAGCCGTCCGTGTATGCTGCGAGCGGCCATGCGCGTTCGCCTTCGAGCGAGGCGCGCGCAACGTCGTGGCTGAAATATACTGGAGGGAGGGCCAACTTAGATGCAGCAGCCTTGAGCTTGCCCTGGAGCGACGGACCCATTTTCAACCCATTCTGAATGCAGACGTGAGGAGGAGAAAACGGCACATGCAAGGCCGCCATGGATTGGTCCGCTTTGCGAGTGGACGGGACATCGATCATGTAGAATTGTTCGTCCTTGCGTCGAGTTCCGAGTGTTTATTGTGTGCTCCGCTCTGCTTACCAGGACCAAACGAGAGAGCCTCTACACCTTTCGAACCAGCCTTTGTAGCCCAGCACACACTCACACATATGGCATTCGCATGCACCGTGGCACCAGCCTGTTTCAAGGACGCGAGATGCTCGGACAATGTGTCACTTCGCTCTTGAAGGCTCAAATTATCAATAGCTTCGCCGCCATCGCCCAGCCCTCTGGGTGCATCCCACCAGGCAGCCTTGTCCCAACTATGTAAGGTTGCCGTTTCTTGCAATGGACAAACTGGCATCCGATCCCAAACAGTTACCGACGGGGGGGGGGGACGATGTTTGCAAAGTCGAATTGCTTCCACCTGCCGCTGATCACGCTGCGCACTCTGATCTCCTTCCATTCCAACCAGCCCTTCCTCCCGCTACGCCTCCTCGCCCCCTCCACGTATACAGTTTTCTGCATTGCCTGGGGGGGGGGGGGGGGCTAGCATGGGGCGCCATTGAAAATCATTGAACGTCATGGCGACCAACATCATTGAGCATCATTGCCGCTGTGAAGGGATGTCTCAGGCGAAAACGTCATGGGCCGAAATTCGCCCTGGACTAGAAGATCATTGGAAATCATGGGGCTCACGCCGAGGTGATCTCCGGAGAACGTAGCGATATTTCGATTTATGATTGTTTAGTAGCTGGTTTTCGTTGTTGAGTTCCATTCGATCTGTGTCTTGATCGTATTATTCGTCATGGCCTGCCTCTTTGACCTGAAAAGTCGGTCAACGATGCATCGCTCGAGTGCTTGTTCAGCGCGGGCCCTGTCGCACTCGATCAAACGACGCCGACCGATCCCCTTGGCCAGCGTCGCCCTCCCACTAACGTAAACAGTGGCACTTCAGGCTGCGATGGAGGCCTCATACACCCTCTTGCAACGGTTGGTTGCCTCGACCAGCTTCGCGACGAGGGAGTCCAGCTCTCCCGAGCGGTTGGTCTCATTCACGACGTCGGTCGCCTCCGGGTTTGTTTTGGCCCACTTCTGGAAGTTGTCCGCCAGTCCGACGTTCGCCCAATAGGGGGGGGCTCTCGAGGAAGTCTCCGACGCCTTCCTTGCCTCACGGGGGCCCTTGACCATCGCACCTCCCGCAGCGTTCTGCCAATCCGCCTTCGTGGAAATCGCGTGCGTGACATCCTTGCAGCTTTGCTGAGCCTTGGACGCATCCGCACATGCCTTCAACGCCTTGGTGAAGGAGAACTTGGCCGCCTTTCGAGGCTGCCCAGCATCGGGTTGAGCTCCGCGCTGCCTCTTAGTAGTATTCGTAGTCGGCCCCTTGCCCTTTGGAGGGGTGCGCGTCTCCTGGCCCTGCTTCGTCTTCGGGGTCTCCGTGGTCGGCTCGGCTGCGGACCCTGCGGTCTCCGCGTCGGACGTCTTAAAAATCTTCTCCGTGCCCTTCATGCGCTTGAAGTCGCTGTCGAAGTACTCGTCCAAGTCAAAAAACTTCACCCTCTCGCTCTGCATGTCGGTGTTGATGAACGGTTCGCCAAGAAATGTTGCCCCCGCCTGCGTCAGTTTGTAGCAGTTCTTCACCACGTTCAGCGCCGCCTTGCACGCCAGCTCATCATTCCCCTATTCGTGCACGATGATGCTGAACGGTTTG